TAATAAGGATTCAGTTTCACATGCAACCTTCGTCTGTTCATGTTTGTGGGTATTTGTCAAATTCACAACAACAAAAAAAAACTTTTCACAAAAAGGTTATTTATGTTCTAAAGATTTATTCTAAAACTCTAGTTCTATGGCCTTAGGGTACTAAGATACACAATAAGTGGTTACATAATTTTTCTTCTTGCCTAAAGCAATATGTAGTTTTCCAGTACTGTGAAAACACTTGCAAGGAGAGTTTCACTCTTTCTTTTTTTTTTTCTTTTTGGCTAGGCAATGAGGTTAAGTGACTTGCCCAGGGTCACAAAGCTAGTAAGTGTTATGTGTCTGAGGTCAGATTTGAACTCAGGTCCTTCTGAATCCAGGGCTGGTGTTCTATCCACTGCGCCACCTAGCTGCCCCAAGAGTTTCACTCTTGAGCCAAATTATGAGATCTAGCCATATATATATTTGACCTATTGTTCTGTATAAGAAACTCCATTTAAAAGTTCAGTCCAGATTTATGACTAAACCAAAAACACTGATATCTAAGGGTATGTAATAAAGTGATTGGAATAAATTGTATCTACTCTAGAAGACACTAGAAGACACCAGTAGACACTACTCTAGAAGTCAAAGGTCCTTTGTTATCTGATTTGCCACTAGTTTAAGAACATTGAAGGCAGCAAGTTCAAATCTTGAGAAAAGGGATAAGCCATACAGCAATAGATAATTCAAGGATCTTTTGAGTCAGAAGGGATCAAAATAACATTTAGTCTATCATTTCATCTAAATTGCCTCTCTATTGGACTGGGGAAACCGAAGTCCATCGAGATTAAACAACCAGAGTCACACAGGTAGGGAGTATTCTGAATTCAGAAGCCAGTACTTAGGCTTCTGACTTCAGGTACTGTATTTCTTCCTGTGGAATACATTGCAGTTTTGCACCCTTTCAGGTGGAGGTAAGAAAAGTAGTAGCTGAGCCAAGATGGCAGAGCAAAAGCAATGAGCTCTCCCCCAAACCCCTACAAATACTTGTAAAAATGGCTCTAAACAAATTCTAGAGCAGCATAATTTACAAAAAGACAGAGTGAAACAAATTTCCAGCCCCAGACAACCTGGAGGGTTGATGGGAAAGGTCTGTTGTGACGGGATGGGAGAGGAGCAAAGTTCAGCACGGGCCTCACAGGAAAAGATCAGGCCTCAGCAAACCCAGAGCAGGCCTCAGGGGACTGAATCACTAGCAGCTGTAGTGGTTTCCAAACTTCTCAACCCACAAACACCAAAGACAACTTAGAAGGTCAGTACGAAAGGTCTGTTGGACCTGGGTGAGAGAGGACCATGGTCTGGCTCCAGTCCTGGCATAGCCCTGGGGCGGTGGCTTCTTCTGGAGCTCTTGGTCCATAGACAGTGTGGGGATAAAGTGGCTGATCAGAGGGGGATTGCAGGGATCTCTTTGCTTGTGCTAAAGCAGGATTCTCTTGAATTACCTGTGCTTGGATCTGAGTCTCAGTCCTGAATGGAGGTCCTAGGGTGAGGAGGAATGCTCACATAGCAGAACTTGTGGTGGCAGTGGAGAAGGAATCCTCTTCACAATTCCAAGGCAGAAAAGAGTGCTTGTGGTCACTCATAGACCAGAACACAGGCCAAGAAAGGAGTAAACATCTCTCATTTGATCATACCACCTTGGAAGAACTGAAAATTTACAGGTCCCTAGAAGTATTTCTGAAAACAGCTACACAAAATCCTGAAGCTTGGGACAGTACACCTTCCACACTGGAAGCAGAGCTCTACCTTAACAAAGAGTGAAAGGTCAAGTAATTGGCTGGGAACATGAGCAAACAGCATAAAAAACTCAAGACTATAGAATCTTACTTTGGTGACAAAGAAGATCAAAACATACAACCAGAAGAAGACAACAAAGTCAAAGCTCCCACGTCCAAAGCCTCCAAGAAAAATATGAATCAATCCCAGGCCACGGAAGGGCTCAAAAAGGATTTTGAGAAGCAAGTAAGAGAAGCAGAGGAAAAAATAGGAAGAGAAATGAGTGATGCAAGAAAATCATAGAAAAAAGTCAACAACTTGATAAAGGAGACCCCAAAAATACTGAAGAAAATTACACTTTAAAAAATAGACTAACCCAAATGGCAAAAGAGGTCCAAAAAGCCAATAAGGAGAAGAATGCCTTAAAAACAGAATTGGCTAAATGGAAAAGAAAGTTCAAAAGCTCACTGAAAAAAAATAATTCCTTAAAAATTAGAATGGAACAAATATAAGTTAATGAATCCATGAAAAATCAAGAAATTATAAAACAAAACCAAAAGAAGGAAAAAAATAGAAGACAATGTGAAATATCTCATTGGAGAAACAACTGACCTTGAAAATAGATCCAGGAGCAATAACTTAAAAATTATTCGACTACCTGAAAGCCATGATAAAAAAAAAAAAGAGCCTAGACATCATCTTTAGAGAAATTATTAAGGAAAACTGCCCTGATATTCTTGAATCAGAGGGTAAAATAGAAATTGGAAGAATCCACTGATCACCTCCTGAAAGAGATCACAAAAGGAAAACTTCCAGGAATGTTATAGTCCCAGGTCAAGGAGAAAATATTGCAAGTAGCCAGAGGGAACCAATTCAAGTATTGTGGAAACACAATCAGGATAACACAAGATTTAGCAGCTTCTACATTAAGAGATCAGAGGGCTTGGAATATGATATTCAAGAAGTCAAAGGAACTAAGATTACAACCAAGAATCACCTACCTAGCAAAACTGAGTGTAATCAATGAGGGGAAAAATTGACATTCAAAGATGTAGAGGAATTTAGTACATTCTTGAGAAGCTGGAGCTAAACAGAAAAATTGACTTGATGGATAGATGGATAGATAGATAGATAGACAGACAGACAGACATGGCACAGGATGAGTTGAATATGAAGGGACAATATCTAAAAAAGAAAATTAAGTGGTGAGAGAGGAATGTACTGGGAGAAGGAGAAAGGGAGAGGCAGAATGGGGTAAATTATCTCACATAAACAAGAAAAAGTATTTAAGTGGAGGGGAAATGGGGGGAGGTGAGAGGGAATGAGTGAATATTACTCTCATCATATTTGGCTTAAGGAGGGAATAACATACACACTCAGTATGGAAAGCTATCTTAACTTACAGGAAAATAGGGGAGAAGGGGATAAGAGAGGGAAGGTGATAGAAGGGAGGGCAGATTGATGGAGGGGGTAATCAGAAGCAAACACTTTTGAGGAGGGACAGGGTCCAAGGAGAGAATAGAATAAATGGGGTGTGGGATAGGATGAAGGGAAATATAGTTAGTTTTTCACAACATGACTATTATGGAAGTGTTTTGCATGACTACACATGTATAACCTATATTGAGTTGTTTGCCTTCTCAATGAGGGTAGATGGGGAGGAAGGAAGCAAACACTGTTTTTTCAATGGAAGGTCAAATACTGAAGCTAAAGTTTAAAATACGTATAATGAGAAGACAGGACTCATTGGAAAAGACCCTGATGTAGGCAAAGATTGAAGGCGAAATGAAAAGGGGTCGGCAGAGGATGAGACAAATTGATGGACAGACTTTGGGAGATAGTAGAGGATAGAAGCACCTGGCATGGGGTCATAAAGAGTTGGACATGACTGAACGACTGAACAACAACAGCAACGGACCCTAATAACTTTAAGCTAGTTTGCTATATATCTGTTTTTTTTTTCAGTCAAACTGAGCAAAAGCTGTCTACATTCATAGCCTCTACTTTCTCTCCTCTCATTCACTATTAAATCCTTTGCAATGTGGCTTCTGGTTGTGTTACTCACCTGAAACTTCTCTCTTCAAAGTTGCCATTGATTTCATAATTGCAAGATCAGAAAGTCTTTTCTTGATTCTCATCCTTCTTGACTTCCCTACTGCATTTGACCTTGTTTGTCACCCTCTCCTCCTGGATACTGTCTCCTCTCTGGGACTGCATGACTCTAATCTTTCTAGGATCTGCTCCAATCTCTTTGTTCCTTCTCAGTCTCCTTTGCTGGCTCACCATATCTCTATGCCCTTTAATAGTGGATATTCTTCAGACTCTATCCTTGGTCTTATTATCTTTTTCTATGCATATTCTCTCAGTGGCCTCATCAGTTTTCATGGATTTAATTATCATTTCCATGAAAATAACTCCCTGATCAATATATCCAGTCCTATCTCTACCCTGAGCTTCAATCTCACATCACCAACTGCCTGTTGAATATTTCAGACTAGATGCCCCAGAGATACCTCAAATCCAACATGTTCAAAAAAGAACTTACCTTTTCTTCCCCCAAATCACTTCTCTTTCAAATGTCCTCATTTTTGTAGAAAGACCACCATTCTTCCCATCTCTCAAGTTTATATATTTGACATCATGCTTGAATTCTTGCCTTTTCTCACACCATATATCCAATCAGTTGTCAAATCTTTCATATCTGATCATATCATTCCCCTCCTAAACAAACCCTAGTGGTTCACCTAAGTTATTATATAAACTCTACTTGGCTTTGAAAGTCTTTCTAACTTCATTGGATATAACTGTCCCTCCTACACTGTGATCCAAACAAACTGATTTTCTCTCTGTTCTTCACACATGGCATTCCAGCTCCATTCTCCTTATAGAATTAATCTTTTACTTTGTTGACCACCACTCAACTGCCACTTTCCACATAAAGTCTTTCCTGATCATCCCAACTGTTAGGGCCTTCTCTTTCTAAATATTTTGTTTTTAACCACCTTAAATCTATCTGTATTTATTCTATATTTATTCTGTATATATTTATGTATGTACTTCTTGTTTCCCACTTAGAACCTAAGCTAGAATAAGGATTATTTCATTCTTTGTATTTGTATTTTGAAGGCCTAGCAGAATGCCTGGCACACAGTGGACACTTAATAAATCAGCACTGATGGAGCTTTGCTTTCCCTCCTAGAAGCTTTTACAATCTTCATGGTCTGAAGATGCAAAAACTGAAGAATGGTACTTACTATTGTTTTGTGTCTGAAAAACAGCATCGCCCATGCCCCAGAAAGCAGCCAAAAAGAAGAAGACAATCTTCTGAGAGGGATGAGGTTTCCACAGCAAAAGGAAAATCATGCAGGACAGGTGTATTGTTGAACCTGTGGGTTTGAAGAGAAAAGGAAAAGGAAACAAATGACTACTCTAAATGAGTGAAAGAACAGGAGGTGGGATTTAGATCCACAGAAGAAATTCTTTTGCTGATTTTTTGGCTTCCTGTATTTGAACAGTTTCCTTAAAATACCCCCAAGTGTTTTCTTTGTCTAAGTTTATGTGCAGGTTGGTGTGTACCCACTTCAATGAGTCTAAACTGGAACTTGGACTTTTATAAGTCTCCTTTTTGTACTAAGACAAAGCACAGATGCTACTGGGATGAAGAATTTCTTATCAATACAAACCTACCCTAGAGTTTCTGGGTCTTCTTCAAGCATCCATGAATTTTTTTCTTCTTTTTATTTATGCTTTTCTTTGTACTCCAAGCACTTGGAAAGGGGTCTGACACATAGTAATAATGTGAAAGGCTTCTTGATTGGTTGGCTAACTGACAGATATACTGGCTATGAAGACTAAACTGGGGAAACTCGGGTCCAAGACAGTCAATGGGTTACTAAAGAACAGACCCATCAGAAGCAGTATATTCTATGATTTTAGGACCTAGGTCAGTTGCCAGTATTAGAAGTATGAAGGAGGAAAACAAAGGTAAGTTAACTATTGGGGACAGAGAAAAGCTTTCTAAACCAAAAGTTCTTTCCCCTACATCATTCTGTCTCACAATGTTCCTGACACTGTGACTTCCACACTATGTTAACATCTTGGCTTCCGGCTCATAAGACACTTTTTGTTTCTCTTTAAAATGTAATAAGCATATCTTTGGAACAGGAAAGTATCTGTCCACATGCCTTACTGATTAATTTCTCCATCCTCCAATTCTTTCAGGCATTGATTGAATATATGTTTCCAACTTCATAGTTTAAAATCCTCATTTATTATCATTCATATTGAGCTCCGTTCTTTTCCCTTTTGATGTTCAAGACAAAAGACTATTAAAATAATGGATACAATAAAATCTATCAAATTTGAAGCCTTAGATAATGAGTAAAGAAAGTATGCTGTAGCATAGCAGGCTGAGAAGGAAGCCTACCAACAATTGTAGGCATGGTAGCTGCAGTAAACAGACTTAGTAAAAATCTTAATAATGATGTCTTAATAAATGAGTCTTTTCCCATGTTAGTCTTCTAAATTCCACACTGATATGCAAAAAAGTAAAAAAATGGGAAAAGATCCTAGATTTAGAGCAAAAAGACTGCTTTTGGTGAAATCCTCACTCTACTTACTATCTCTGTAACTTTTAGATAAGTTCACCTCTTAGGCCTCAGTTTCTTTATCTGTAAAATAAAAGGATTCAGGTAGGTAGTTTTAAAGGTTCCTCCTTGCTAGACATCCCCCAAGTTCACTTCTAGATTTCTCCTCAATTTTACTGTGGTTCTATAGCATAATCCCACTGTCATATATCATCAGTGTTATTTGGGTTAATTTTGTTTCTTTTTTCTATTCTTTGCTTACAGGTTGTCCCCCTAGTTCTGGCCTACCATCTGGCAAGTGTATGCTATTGACCATGAAATAGATCAGGTGAAAATGAATATGAATACCTCTGAGTGCTTCTGTAAGGATCAAATGAGCTAGTTGATATTTGTAAAGTGCGTTGGGGAAAAGTGCAATTTCACATAGAATAACAAAGAACATGTTCTGTTGATATAATAATCATAATACAATAAGTAACATTTATAGGTACATAAGAATATGTATGTGCCTATAAGTATGCATATGTAGATAAAGTAAACAACATCCCTGAATGATAGTCTACTAAAATTTAGAGTCGGATGTGACCTTTGCTTTGATTTAGTCCAGGAGTGTCAAATACAGGGCCTGTGGGCCATGAACCCTCAGTACTCCCAAGTGTTGGGGAATCAGATTAAAATATAATTGGGAAACACTTATCAAAATAAATAAAAATACAATGGAACATAGATGATATTAGTATGTAGTTTTCTAAGTCAATATGATACTACAGGGATCCTTACGTACAGTTTAATGGTCCCCATTTGCATTTGAGTTTGACACTACCGATCTCACCTAAAGCCCTTATTTTATTGCCAAGAAATCAAGGCCCAGAGGAAAGAGAATAAAAATAACTTCTTCCTAGTTACATGAATAGTAAAGGACCCAATAAGCAGCTAAATCCAGGTCTTCTAACTCTAGGACCAAAGCTCTTTCCCTACCATGCAGCCCAATGAATTAGAAACATCATCTTCAGATAGAAAAGATAGCAACTTATTGCTATTAACAGAGAGATAGACAGATGAGTAAGTGGATAGATAGATAGATAGATAGATAGATAGATAGATAGATAGATAGAT